ATTTTGTGACTAATGGATTCAGGTCAGGGAATGTCTTTTGGTGGCTCGAGCCCAGATCCGTCTCGACACGAGATAGAGAGACGCGGAGAAGCAGAAATACGGAGACACAGAGACAGAGCAGTTTGAGCTTCTCTTGTGGCAAAGTTTCACGGGAGCAGAATTTTAATAAAGTGATTTTGATGAAAAATTCATTTTTCCCCCTCACTTTTGTCTTACACCCTTCTACTGAGGACAGCTTCTTTGATCTGAGTTGGGCGAGTAGGGGGGAAAGGGAGCACGATGAAGGGAGTCTGAAGGGGAGACGCAGAGCAGGTTTGAGTAACAGCCCTCCATCCGTGTCATTTAAACAAACTGTCATCTGTCCTATCAGCAAAGAGCTCTCAATCTTCTTTTTTTTTTTTAAAAGCTTCAGCTAATGATTGAGCTCCCGTCCTCCACTCCACTGTGCACAACCTCTGTCTGTGTAACCGTTGGCTATTTCATCACTGAGCTCCAAACTGATCGGGTTGTCTTCAGGTTTCTGGTGAAACGAAGCATCAGATAGCGTCAGGATGGAAGCTGATATTAATAAGTTATGGTTTGTAGTTCTTCTCGGCCTGTGACTCATGTACAGGACGCTGTTCTTTAATCCAGCGTTGTGTTTCTGAATGTTTGAAATCCCGAGTGAATCACTTTACAGGGAACTTCCAAATACAAGAACGTAAATAGAAATAACAAATAAATCAGTAAATAAATGTAACAGACAAAATAAAAGCAATTTTATGTCGTTTCAAATTAATTGTTGTGCTTCTATAGATGGCTTTCTGCAACTAACAGTTATTTTCATCAATTAATCTGCTAGTTATTTGTCCAATTAATTGTTTAGTCTGTAAAATGTAAAAAAATAAGTGAAGTGTCCATCAAGCTCTAAAAGTCAAAGGTGCCATCTTCCAATGTTTTTCTTTTCCTCAGAATAAAAATCTTAATTTCTAAAGAACACTAAAAACCATCAAATCAAATTATCTTTTGAGAAGCTAGAAAGAGCAAATATTTTAGTTGTTTAATCAAAATAAATGATTGAGTCAGCTAAATTATCAATTTTCTTTTTATCAACTTACAAATTGATTGACTTTGTTTCAGCACTACCTTTAGATTATAATGTATGAATTTCATAATATCTGAAATTAAAATGACAAATGTCGATCACATTTTCCTGAAGCCCAAAGCCGTTGTTGTCTGACCATCAGTCCAGGATCCAAATATGGTTCGTTACTAAAACAAAACACAGTTTAGAAGCTGAAACCAGTTCATGTTTGGAATTTTTGCTTCATAAATAACTTAGATTATGAATTGATTATCAAAACTGTTGCTGCCTTAATTTCAAATCCACTTTTCTATCAATCTAACAACAGTTTCCACAAGTTTGGAAAATAAAACAGATTGAGGTCAAACCGCAGTTTGACTCTAGTTACATTATGTGTTTTTACTGGATATGAATCAGAAGTGAATTACAGCTACTCTGACATTTCCATCAGGCTTAGCTTCAATAACAGGGACGGGAATCGGATTTGGTTTTGACCCCCACCGCCAGCATGTTCAATCTCCTGGGATGGCAGGTTGCCAAAACTCTGTCCAATAAACAAACTGCTTGTGACTTCATGTGACATTTTGTTTACAAGACCTTGTTTTCTTGCAACCAGGCCGTTTGAAAGACAGATGTCACTTTGGCTTGTCCTCTGCCCAGATGTGCTGTACGGGCACCTGAGAGCTTCCTGCAGTTCATTTAGGTGACCTTCTTTTCCCCCACACACACACACACACACACACACACACACTAGGTGTACACGCCCACTACATCAAACATGTAATACAAACTTCCATGCAATGTTTCAAAACCACCTCCCGACAAAACACCAAAATGTTTGAATCTAGTGAGAGAGAGACTGAATAGAGTGAATCCCTAACACAGACTGATGCATAAATACAGTCACAGAGATGCTCATGTGCAGCCACACCCTCACACCCTCACACACACAGACATGCACATCAGACCATAAACACTTGCACAGCTGCACATTCTCACACGCACACACACACATCACTGCATCTCCTCTGTGCTCGCCCGTCTCCGTTTCCACTCCATCTCGGGTCACTGCTTTTCCGCCCGCTCCTCCGACGGCTGCCAGCGTCTCCAGCTTCCATGAAGCAGGTAGGCAGTCTGCCAGTCTGCAGGAGGCCGTCGGAGACAGGAGCTCAGACGGCGCTCCCTTGTTTACTTTCATGAGTTGTTGACTGGCCACCCTGCCGGGGCCGACGCCGTGTCGGAGCATGTCAGGAGAGGCCTACGACGGATTAAAAAGGCATCAACCTTATTGTGTGAGTGGCAGACAAAGGAACGAGGGAGTGAGTGCATCCGCTGGCAGAGGTGTGTGTGTGTGTGTGTGTGTGTGTGTGTGTGTGTGTGTGTGTGTAAAAGCCTCGTTCCTGAGACACAGAAACGATGGTTCAGAGCTCCTCGCCTCTGCTTTGTTCTCCGTATTACACCCTTCTTCAAAAACATGGCGTTGTAGGTGTGAAGGATTAGAGTTGCACTAATTACGAGGTTGTGAATGGCATTATAGCTCCCTGATGTTGCAGAACACTTTCTGTGATAATAGTCTTTTTTTTTTTTTTTTATTCATTTATCAAGATATGCCAGAGAGCCTTTTATGATGAACGTGCTGTGAAGGCTTCGCTGCCTCCATAGTCTTATTCCCACTGTGAAAAATGTGGAATTACTTGTCTGGTTTCAAAGAAGAGCCGAGAGTGGATTTTCGTGGAAGAACCTGCATTCACAAGCAGCACATTTACTCTTTGAAGCCAAATCTGCCAGTTTATGGCTTGAAAACAATGTCTGTGATTGCAACTCTAGTTTTTTTTCTCTTTTTTTTTTAAAGCTTCATGTGAGACTTTTTTTTTCTCCCGCTGTTTAAAAAAAGTGACAAGTGTTGTATAATTGTTTAAAAAGTGTTTGTATTAATGAGACGATACCACAAGCCTTTGTAATTTCAGTCAGAGTAAATGGCCGAGTTATTTCAAGAACTTGTCAGGGTAATGAGGCATATCCCGTGTAATACACACACACACACACGGGGAATTAAAGTGAAAGTCAGAGATAGAGAGGAGGGGGGGGGGGGGGTAGAGACAAGTGAGAGAGCTTGAGAGGCAGTGAGAGCCCCCCAGAGAGAGAGACTGGAAGGCCTCCAAATGTTCCACTCTGGAATATCTTCAAGGACAATCAGCTAAACAGTTGATATTAAGAGAGCTGTGTGAAATCGATTGCTGAAGGTGTTATCTGCGCTGCAAAAATGGCTGGTAATTAGTCATGCCTAAAGGAGTGTTACAGAGAGAGCGAGATGGATTTAATCTTAATAGATTTCACTGCACTGCAGATACAGTAGCTCCTGAGCTCTCTCTCTCTCTATCTCTCTCTCTCTCTCTCTCTCTCTCTCTCTCTCTCTCTCTCTCTCTATCCATCCATCAGAAGAAAAGCAGCTGAGTAAGTAGCTGTGATGTACTGCCGTTGGTAAATTTGCCTGAACCTTCAAATGTATGTTTTGCCCGAGTTCCTTGTTCAAAGGCAGTGCGCATTTGGCAGCAGCACCTGTTTTTATTCTGACTCTCCAGCAGCAGCAACTCCTGTTTGTGAAAACAAAAAACCCATCTCAGGCAATGAGGTACTTGAGTCCACGGCAGCTGTTGACTTAGAGATCTTGGTTGCGTATTCAGAGGTAATGAGCGGACAAAGCCCTCAGTGACTGACGGGGAGATTGGGGTGTTTGCTCCTCTTTGATGTACCTGTGCAACCCAGACACCGGCCAGATGTGTTAGTTTAGCGATTAGCAGAGGCTGGGAGTGATGAAGACAACTAAAGTACTCTGTATTTGGGGGAGGGGTCAATAGGCAGGTGGGACAACTTTGTCTATTGTATGTTGGACAAAGAAATACAATGTGTGGCTTCTATTAATCTTTACCCCATACTGTATAAACTGAAGGATGAGGCAGGTGTTGTTTTACTATCAAATCCCATGAAAAATAACAAATACGCTAGTATGTGGGTCAGTCGATTCACCACTTTGGTCCAAATATATCAACTATCGGATGGATTGCCATCAAACTTTAGACATTCATGGTTTCCAGACTAATGATCCCGATTCCTTTGGTGATTCTGTGATTTTTCATCTGGTACCACCAGCAAGTCAATCTTTTAAAAGTACCAGTATCTGCAAAACTAATGTCATCACCATTGGCCTTAGCTGGACTCTGATTTTAATGCTAATCAGCAAAGGTTTGCATGCTAACACGCTAAGCTAAGAAGGTGAAGATGGCAAACATTATACCTGCAAAACATCTGCATGCTAGCATTGTCATTGTGCACAAGTTAGAATGCTGACGCTGGCGTTTAGATCAAAGTACAGATGTGTTTTCACCAAACTAATGCCAAACACCGCCAACACATTAAAACAATGCCACAAGGTGATGTAACATTAAACTCTATTAAATCTCTATTTTGCTGAAATACAACCAATATTTTTACTTTGGTTAACTTGGACTAATAGTAAATTTGAAGAAGGGAAATGGAATCTTAAAATGTGCTTCTCACAGGATTTCCTGCTGGGAAAACCCTCCCGGTCAATAGTCCCATTACAGCAGCAACAGTCATTAGGAACGAGATTACATCTGGGTCCTGTTCTTCTCAGTAATATGTTAAATAAATTCTATTTTACAAAATGGGTTTGGATGTGTGAAGTTTCTGCTGTGTCTGCTGAGAGCTGATGGGAAACACTTGTTCAGAAGTACAGTGTAGCAGCTCAAATCTGCTGAGAAGTTATTGCCTTGTCGTATGTTTGACCTTTTGGTCTTTTGTAACCTGTAGTTTTATCGTTGTAAGCTGACAAGAAAGCATTCTGACTTTTATATTTGTGTGGTTTTTTTCCATCTAAATATGTCGTCTATTTCTCTTTTTGTCATTTTTCTTGCAGAAGCTGAAGCAGAAGAACCAGCAGTTAAAGCAGATCATGGACCAACTCCGCAACCTCATCTGGGAAATCAACTCCATGCTGGCCGTCAGGAGCTGAGCCACACACCCTCGAACACCCATTCATATACCCCCCCCAACCCCCCCCCCCCCCCCCCACCCCCACCACCCCCCCCCCACCCCCACACACACACACACACACACACACACACACACACACACACACACACACACACACACACACACACACTCTTACTATAAATAAAGGACAGGAAGATTTGGTCATTAACTGGACGTGTGACAGGGTACCACAGGCTGGCTGAGGCTGCACTTTAAAGAAGAAGAAATTGGGACATTGGCAATATCAACCCGTTTCCAGAAGACATGAAACAATAGATGAAAAGCGAGAGGTGAAACATGGCGACGGGGGAGGGGGCAGGTGACATCAGTGTGGCCGATGGCAGAGAATATTCTGTCTACCTCGATATTCTGCATTTCAATCAACATTAAGATTGATGTAATCTGAAGAGTTTATATATTATGTTTTATCTATGAGTAGGTCCTAGCTCAATAGAGGGCTCATGCCTGTAGGGACACGTTGATATATTCTATTTAATCCTAAAATCCAACCCATTTCTTAGTTTTTGAATTGTTTGAAGCCCTAAATTCAAAAAGCTTTTCTATGACCCCCTAAACACTTTAATAAGAAAGACACACACACTGTGGCAGAATGAGTCTTGTTCTGGCTATATTCATCTGCTTTTTTAAATTAGATGTAATATGTAAACTCATCGATGCTCTGATTGGACTTGACATTTCAATACGATGCCTTGTTCAGGATTCTGCTCAACTGTACATTTTGCTGTGATTTTTAATTTTTTTTAAAAAGTTGACGCTCTTCGTGTCGTGGTGTTTGTTTGTTGGTGTCTGTTGTTAATGCCGTCCGTATTCACTGAGCATTTCAGAATCGCATCGGAATCGCGCTAAAAGTGAATCTATATTATAACAGTTATAACTATTTACCTGCTGATCGTAACTTAAACGTAAACGGACAATGTTGAGATGGATTCTCCGACCTTTAGACAGATAATGTAATGGTGACTTCAAACCTTAAACCTACTACCATTTTTATATTGCGTTTTCTTGTTAGTTCTCAGCAAACATGTCGTTTGTACCGATATGTCAGAGATGAGCTCAAATCTCCTGATATGTCAATCAGCGACAGATTTATCCGTCTAGCTCTTGCGGGAACAGAATAATCAAAACTCCACAATATGGCTCAGCCATCTGTTATTCAAATGAATAAAATCATGATTTAACTATTGAATAAAAAAATGTCCCTACTGATTTCCTACTTTCAGATGCTTGATAGATACTGGCCAGTTTTGATTGGTCAACTAATTCATCTAGGGGGAGCTTTTGGTCTCTGTAAAAAGACTAAACGTAAACACACACTTCATAGAAAGAAAGGAGAGACGGAGTAAGAGCGAGAGAGAAAGAAGGATTCAATTCAAACATGAGCTAAAGTCTAGGTACATGTGCACAAACAAACCCACACTGTCAGGTCTAGGATATGCATGAGAATATCAGTGTCTGATATGTTTGCGTTTAATAATTCAGAGCATAGCCAGGGTCATATCTGAGATGTGTTATGAGGGTATCGTCCTCGGGGAGAAGCAGAAGGACGGATGCAGCATTGGAGCAGCGAGAAGGCTTTCAGCTGTGTGAAAAAAAATAAATAAATAAAATAAAAAATCAATGCAGTAGTGACTGATAAACCACTCCTCAGTGGTCTAATAAAGGGGGGGCTATTAGACCTCTGAGGGCAGTGCAGCATTATGACTGTAGAAACGGAGTGTGTTCTCATACGGCAGCGGTTTAGCGCCCGTCTATGCACGCTTTGTCGCAAATGATAACGCGGAGAAAAAAAAGTGCTCTTTACACTGATGTTTACAATGTGCGCTGCTGTCAGCATGTCTCGTGTCTGAGGAGGCAGATGGTGACACTTTGTGTTTTGGTGGGACTTTGTAACGACTGCATGGCATCCTGGTCTGTGAGGTTAACGTCAGTGGAGGAATGACATTTAGGAGAAGCTGGGAGGAAGATTTGTGATTTGTGCAAACCTGATCCTTGAGTCTTTTTTTCCATTTTATTTTCAATGTAGTCTAATATAACTTTTCCAATAGCACCTGAGAGACAGAACCCAGGCTGTCTGTTAGATCTTAAAAAGTTGCACATGCTCATAATGTAATGATTTCAAAGTCATAAAAATAATTCCATAATGAGCAGTAATAACAGTTTATGTATTTCATTATAAACTAAGCAAACTTTTTGTTTTCTTTTGTGAACTCAACTTCCCAATACAACCTCTTAAATAGCCCTTCTCTAAATCATTAGGTCCTAAAAGCTGTTAAATGCACTTAAAGCTGCATCCATATGCAGCCGTGACTTATTGATGATAAGATAGAAGTTGATGAATCAAATTAGTGACAATTAAGGCGCCTAATGGGACAATTATGACATTTTATGTGAAGGTCCAATCAGTGTTGATAGTGTATAGTCAGTTAAAGTTCAGGGTTAGGGTTAGTCTTGATGTTTGAAATTGTACCTTTTTCCTTTTTAATAATCTTTTCTTGGTTTCACTCATGCCAATTAACATATTGAAAATTGAGAGTGACTGTGAATGCGGTGGAAGCGGATGAGAGAACCATCAGAGCAGAAGAGAGATTAAGTATAAATGCTGCAGCTATTTTTTTTTTAATGCTGTCTTGTTTCCCAACTGCTGAGTGGAGTGATGTGGGGCGAAAACAGGTGCCGTTGGACAGAAGCTTGTGAGCAATTGTTTTTTTAAATACAATGCTATATGACATACGATGCCTTACTTGATATGCTATACTAGGTCATAGTACAGCATGTCATAAAAAGTCATAGTATAGTATGTCCAAAAAAAGTTATAGTAACTATACTATGACTTCTTCGACATACTATACTATGAATTGTTGACATACTACACTGACTTTTTCGACATGCTATACTATGACTTTTTCGACATGCTATACTATTGCTTTTTACGACATGCTATACTATTGCTTTTTACGACATACTATACTATTGCTTTTTACGACATGCTATACTATGACTTATGACTTTTTTTGATATACTATAACTTTTTCGACATGCTATACTATGACTTTTTCGACACGCTATACTGACTTTTTTCATCATGCTATACTATGACTTATTTATGACTTTTTTTGATATACTATGACTTTTTCGACATACTATACTATGACTTATTTATGACTTTTTTTGATATACTATGACTTTTTCGACATGCTATACTATGACTTTTTCGACATGCTATACTATGACTTTTTCAACATGCTATACTATGACTTTTTTCAACATGCTATACTATGACTTTTTCGACATGCTATACTATGACTTTTTACGACATGCTATACTATGACTTT